ACACTGGCATCGTGCCAGCCACACGGAGCCCAGACATGGGTATGGGCAGAACTTGGGCTCCAGCTCTTGTTCCCCCTTCCCTCCTGCACCAGCCCCCCTGGAAGGACCCTGAGACACCCCAAAGTGTCCCTGTGCCTCTGGGCTGCATTCCTGGGGACCAAGGTGCCATGCATGTGCCACGTTTCTTCCCAGCTGGAGTTTGTGGGTTTGTGGATCGGGGGTCTCCAGGCAGTGGGTGCCTGGGGCTGGCTGGGTGGGTCTGGGGGTTTCAGGCTGCCAGGGAATGCAGGGTACAGGCCCCAGCAGCTCCTGCCTGGGCTATCCTGGTGTGCAATTCCCTGTTTGCAAAGCATGAGTGTCCCAGGGCAGTGTCACCTTCCCTCAGGATCCACAGCTGCATGGACCCTTGGCTGGCTGTTTGGCTGTGGAATGGGATTCAGGGCACAGCCATGGGATGTGCTCCAGCCCCCCAAGGGATCAAGGCCAGCTGGTGACAGACCTGACTTTGCTTTGGGGTTTTGGGCCCCGGGGAGCCCCAGAATCGCCATGGGAGCCCAGAGCCAGCAGCAGTGCAGCTGCGTGGTGACCCAGGCAGGGCAATGGCAGGGCTGGCCGGTCACAGCACCGTGTCCATGGTACTGGCTGGAGGTCACTGTGCCAGAGCATTGTGGCTACACCCTGCTCACACCAGCGTGGTGGTGTTGAGGGTCCCCCAAGTCACCTGGTCTGGGGCAAAAGGGCTTCCCCAAGGAGCCACAGACTGGGGGAGCACCAAACCATTGCCTGCAAAAGCAGCTCTGGGGTGGGGGTAGGTTGGATCCCCACCCACCTACACAAAAAAAAAAAAGAAGAAAAAGGAAAGGGCTCACCCCATTTTTTTTTGTCCCCTCCACCACCTGCTCCCCAAGAGGGGAGGCTGGAAGTGCTGAGCTGCTCCCCGGGGCAAAACGCCCTCGGGTTTGCTGTTTCACAGGGGCTGCAGACCCCCCTCAGGGCTGAGGCTCTCACCAGAGCCGGAAGAGTTAATGCTCCCAAAATGCCATGAAATGTTCCTGTTGCAGGTCAGTCTCCATCGGGGATTAGGGGGATCTGGCCGGGGAGCCGGGGCCGGCCCCTGCCAGCTCGAGGCTGGTGCGGGACGTGCTGGTTGAGCCTAAGCACGATGTGCCGGGGTCTGGTGTGGCTCAGGAGACATCCTGGCTGTAAATCACCGGGGAGGGAGGGTTGGGAGCCCCGGGGGGCTGGGGGAGCCCCTCCGGGGGGCTGGGTGAGCACCCACCCCGCCAGGCGAGACACGGTCCCGTGCCAGCAGCACGTGGGATGCGGGATGGAAAGCGAGGATGGATCCGTGCCGGTGTCCCGCTCCCGGGCCCCTTCGCCTGTGGTGCCGGTGGGTGCCCGGAGGTGCGGGGCGAGGGACTCCCGGACCAGCCGGGTCCCGGCCGCCCCCAGCGTGGGCTCCCAGGACCTCCCGCCGGCCGCCCCGTCCGAGGGGACCGCAGGCTCCGGCTGTTTTCTCATCCTGCAGGAATTCGGCTCCGTGGGCCGGGCGAGATTTTGTGTGCCCCCCCTCCCCTTCACTCTCCCTCTTTGGAGACTTTCTGCATTCTGCCTTTGATCTCCCCCCGTGTTTGCCCAGGGATCGCCGGGCTCGCCGGGGTTAGAGGCTGAGGTCAGCGCCTTTCCCATTCCAAACACCCAGAAACATCAGTGGGAAGGGAGGGGATTCAGATTACAACCTTCCCGTCCTCCCCTTCCACCCCACTCGCCCCGCTGGCCGTGCCGGGGATGGACTGAGCCCCGAGAGACACCGGCCGCTGCCGCCGTGTCCCCCCGAGAGCCGAGCGGCGGCGATGGATGGAGGCGGCGGGCGGCGTCGCCGGTGGTCCGGCGGGCTCCGGGTGTGCTGAAGGACAGAGGTTTGGTCCTCTCCTCCTCCTCTTTGTCCCCCCGCCCGCCCGCCCGCCTTCTCCCTCATCCCGTCTGTCCTGAATGTGATTTATCCCGAGCCCTGCCCAGCGAGCCAGGCCCGATGGCTCCGGGTGGGACCGGCGGGCGCGGGGCCCGGGGCCAGCGTGCGGGTGGGCGGCAGAGGCTCCCGGTGGGCGCCGCGCTGCTCCTGCCCGTGCTGGTGGCGGCGGCCGGGCTGAGCCTGCAGCCGGCCAGGATGCGGCACCTGGGCGTGTGCCCCAACCAGCTGAACCCCAACCTGTGGGTGGACGCCCAGAGCACCTGCGAGCGGGAGTGCCAGGCCGACCAGGTGAGCGAGGGGGCTGCGGGGACGGTACCAGGGGGGCATCCCCAGGGCCCCGATGGAGATGCTCTGGGGTGCGGGTCCCGTGCCGGGGTGCCACAGCCGGTTCAGTTGTTTCAGTGCAACGGGCTCAGTCCTGCTGCAGCTTTGTCCCCTAAGCCCCTCCTGTCTGCTGGGCTCCCCAGTCCCCCACAGGCAGAGAAACTGCTCGTTGCCCCCTCATATCACCCCCTCAGACCGTGTCCCATGGTCAGAACGCCCTCCTCGTGCACCCCCGGGGGGCTGGCTGGGATGAAGGGAGTGGGTGTGCTGGGATACGGACCCCATCAGGCCGAGGACAGAATCCTCTCCCAGCTTTTCCCTGAGGGCCGGAGCCCACCCACGGACCGGGTTGTCCATCCCAGAGAGCCCCGGCCCTGAGCTCCACCAGGCTGGGCAGAGGCAACCCCACCCGGTTAGGGCTGTCTGAACCCAGAGGGGAGACTCCTTCACAATTCATCTGTATGAGTTCTGCCTCCCCTCGGCCAGCAGGAGCTGAGAAGGGCAAGTTGCTCTCCTGTGGAGGAGAAGGGACCGTCTGCACTGCGGCGCACCCCCAAACATCCTGGGGGTGCTGAGGGTGGGCTGGGGCTGGTGCAGCCGTGCCGGGGACGTCTGGCTCTTACCCGGAGCCTAGCGATGCTGAAGGTGCACAGAGCTGCTCGGGGACACCTGCCCACCCCAAAGTCCCACAGGGGTGGGAACAGCACCCTCAGCCCCAGCGCGGCGGTGATCTCCACGTCCCCCCCGCCATGTCTTCTCCCTCCCCTCCCAGGACTGCGAAGACTTTGAGAAATGCTGCACCAACGTGTGTGGGCTGCGGAGCTGCGTGGCCGCGCGTTTTGCCGACGGCAGCCTCCCTGCGCTGGCTCTGGCTCCCGCCGCCTCCTGCGAGAGTTTCGTGTGCGCGCAGCAAGGCTCGGACTGCGACATCTGGGACGGGCAGCCCGTGTGCAAGTGCAAGGACCGCTGCGAGAAGGAGCCCAACTTCACTTGCGCCTCCGACGGCCTCACCTACTACAACAAGTGCTACATGGACGCCGAGGCGTGTCTGCGCGGCACCCGCCTCACCACCGTGCCCTGCAAGCACATCTTCACCTGGCCCGACACCAGCCCCGTGCCGCAGGAGACCACGGCTCGCCCCACGCCGGGAGCCGGCCCCGAGGTGCCGGTGCCCCCCGCCCTCTACACCAACCCCTTCCACCAGTCCGTGCGGGCCGGAGGCACCGTCAGCTTCCGCTGCGACGTGAGCGGCCGCCCGCAGCCCGACATCACCTGGGAGAAACAGAGCGAGCGGGACGAGAACTTCATCATGCGGCCGGACCAGATGTACGGCAACGTGGTGGTCACCAACATCGGCCAGCTGGTCATCTACAACGCCCGCCACGAGGACGCCGGCATCTACACCTGCACGGCCCGGAACGCCGCCGGGCTGCTCCGCGCCGACTTCCCGCTGTCGGTGGTCAGACGAGAGCCGGGGGGGACCCCGCGGACCGGCAGCCCCCAGCCCTTCCCCAGCGCCGAGTGCCTGAAGGAGCCGGACCGGCGGCGCTGCGAGGCCACGGAGGTGCGCTGGCATTTTGACGCCAAGCAGGGCTCCTGCCTCACCTTCCGCTACGGCGGCTGCGGGTCCAACAGGAACCACTTTGAGACGTACGAGGAATGCCGAGCCGCCTGCCTGGGCAGTGCCCGCCCCACCTGCCTCCTGCCCATGGTGCAGGGACCCTGTCAGAACTGGGAGCCTCGCTGGGCGTACAACCACCTGCTGAAGCAGTGCCACTCCTTCGTCTACGGCGGCTGCGAGGGCAACACCAACAACTTCGAGAGCAAAGAAACCTGCGAGGATGTGTGCCCCTTCCCCAAGAGCCTGCAGTGCAAGGCCTGCCGCCTGAAGAGCAAGATGGTGCTGAGCCTCTGCCGCAGCGACTTCGCCATCGTGGGGCGGCTCATGGAGATCGTGGAGGACCAGGACTCCGGCATAGCCCGCTTCGCCCTCGAGGACGTCATCAAGGATGAGAAGATGGGCCTCAAGTTCTTCAACATCAAGTATCTGGAGGTGACCTTGACCGACATGGACTGGAGCTGCCCCTGCCCCAACATGACGGCAGAGGACGGGCCCCTGATCATCATGGGCGAGGTGCACGACGGAATGGCCACGCTGGACCCCAGCAGCTACGTCCGGGCCGCCAACGACAAACGGGTGAAGAAGATCTACGAGCTGATGGAGAAGAAAACCTGCGACCTCCTGAACCGCTTCCAGGACTAGGGGAGAGCCAGGATGTGGCGACAGGGAGAGCTGCAGACACACCACGGAGGGGGCAGCCTGAGGGAGCCCCTGCACCAGTGCCTGTGTCTAGAGGTTACCACTGTCATGTAGTTCCCCTCAAACCCGTGCTGAGCCCCAGACCAGCTCCCACCTCCACTGTAATTTATCTGCCGCATGTTCCCCCCACCATGTGACACTCCCAGCCTGTCCAGGAGCAATAGAGAATTGGGTTGGGTTGCAGAGGGGTGGGAGATCTGCCAGGACCACCCCACTCATAAAATCTTCTCTCCTCACCAAAGCCTCTGGGGCCAGTGCTGGACCTGACCCTTTCATTGGTGCTGGAGGTGGAACTGGGAACACCCCCACACCCCAGTATTTGTGCTGAAAACATCAGGGAGCTGCTGGGGTGTGGAGGGCAAAGCCACAGAGTTTATTGGGGGGCAGCAGCACAGTCCCGGGGAGGGAGGGAAGGGGGACACCATCAGCACAGCATCCTCCGAGGAAATGGAGCAAGGAGTCTCCGCCATGCCCAGGGGTGTTGTGTCCCCTCCCCCACACCTGTGTCCCCCGTGGCAGCTGTGCTGGCTCCTGTGCTCCAGTGGGGGCACCCCGCTATAAAGACAGCCCCAAAGGCACCAGGGGAGATGGACCCCCCCCAGCCAAGTCAGCCCCAGCTGGGGTGCGTGGGGCTCCGTCCCATCACTGCTGTCCCCAGCCACGGTGGGACAGTGCCACCCCTGCAGGAGGCATCAGTGGGGACAGCAGCGCCGGGAGGCGCTGGAAGCGCTGTCAGGGCAGTTACAGCTTGCGGAAGATCAGGCTCTTGTTGTTGGCCGGCATGTCCACCTGGAAGCACAGAGCCGGGGCTCGGGGGTGCCCAGCGGCACGGGGAGCACCCCGGGGCCCATCACCTACCATCCTCTCCAGGCACAGCCCGTTGGCCTCGGCCAGCTCCCGCAGCAGCGCCGTGTCCCGCAGCCCCCAGGCGGGATTGCTGTGGGGAGGGAGGTGTGGGTCACACCCAGGGACATCCCGCCCCACATCAGCCCCATCTCCCCGCGGGTGGGGGCTGCCCTCCGGCGTGGCTTATCTTGAAGGACCACACCGGGAGGGAGCTTCCTGCAGGAGCAGGGGCGGGACAGAGAGGACGGGATGAGCCCCCAGGAGCCTGAGCCCCCCCAGCCCCCCCCTACCTCTGCCTCAGGCTGCGGTCGAAGTCCACATTGCTCTGGGGGCTGATCTGTCCGTCCACGGCGTAGGGCTGGTGGGACACAGCTGGAGCTGCAGACATGAGCCACCCCGTGTCCCACCAGCTCCCCTTCCCCGGGCTGCTGTCCCCACCAAGCACAGAAGCCAAGCGGGAAGGGACACGGCCCCCAAGGAATCCCATCAGCCACTCTGAGTCCTGTCACCCTCTGCAGGCCTCCCAGACCCTGCCTTGGATAAGGTGAGGGAGGACAGGATCTCTCTCATCCAAAACTGCCCCCTTCAGGGCTCAGCATGTGCCCCAAAAGGCAGAGACCCTCCAAAACCCAAGCCTGCATTTCCCAGTTCCCTCCCTAAGCCACGACTGGAGCTGCCCTCCCAGCTCCTCCCCGCTATCCGCTGTGCCACCCTGCACCCCCGGCTGCCCCAGGACAGTGACCCACCCCATAGGTGAAGAGCAAACCTCCGGGCTTCAGCAGCACCCCGGCACCCTTGAACAGGCCCTGGGGAACGAGAGAGGTGGGGACGGGGTCAGGGGGCCGGGGACACCCCCCGGGAGCCCCCCCCGGGAGCTCCCCTCGGTCCTGGCAGGGCACAGGGGCTGTCCAGGGCCGCTCACCTCGGTGCACCGCAGCTCTGTGATGTGAATCATGTTGATGCTGACGAGGAGGTCGAGGGTGGCGGGCTGGGTGCCCCCCCAGGTCTCCCAGCCCTTTGACACATCCAGCAGGATGGGGGGCAGCAGGTTGGGCAGCTGCGTGGCCTCCACATAGGCAGCGATGCTGTGGGCACCAAACCCAACCTGAAGCCAAGCTGGGCCCCCTCCCTGCGCCCCCCAGCACCCTCTGCAGGCAGGAACAAACCCCTGGATGGACGTGGAATAACTCGGACGTGGGTGCAGCCCAGCCTGGGGGCTCTTTGCCCAGCCCTTTCAGCTGGCAGATGGAGAACTGGAAGCACCTGGACAACCACCAGGGCCTAAACTCCTCAATTTTGGAGCACCCTCCCCTTATGGGGCACCCCACTGGCTCCACTGCATCAGCACCTCCTGATTTTGGTGTTATTTACACACTTTTTGGCACATTCACCACCCAGGTCTCAGCTTCTGCAGCCTCCCAGTTTGGGGATTATTTTTACCCTGGTGGGAGGTGCTGGGTGGGCAGCACAAAACTCCCCCTGGACAGTGCTGGTTCCAGCACCTCCTCACCAGGCTTAAGGTTTTTTTCTACGGTGGAAAGCGGGATTTGGGGAGTTTTCTGGGAAAAATAAAGTCCTGAGCTGGGGAGCATGGGTTGTTTGGGAGTTTGGATATTGGGGATTTATTGAAAAAAAATATAGTGAGTATTGACTTGGGGAGCCTGAGCTGGGCAAGAGTTGAGTATTGTGGTTTGGCTGGAAAAAATAAAGCAGCAGGACAGAGAGCCTGGGATGTCCAAGGGGTCTTTGCTGAGAAAAAAATACACATTAAACTCATCTGAGAGCAGGATATTGGGATTTTCCTGGAAAGAATACAGCACCGAGTGGGGGAGCCTGGGCTTCTGGAGATCTGGCTATTGGGTTTTTCCTGAAAAAAGAAATTAAGTGTGGAGCCTGGGCCCACTGTTGAGTGGGTCTTTTCTGGGAAAAAATACGCATCCAGCTCATCCAAGAGTAGGATATTGGGATTTTCCTGGAGGAAACAAAGCAGGAGAGCCCAGACTGCAGGAGATTTGGATACTGGGGTTTTCCCCAAATCCCCAAACGAAATAAAATAAATAAAGAAAAAATAAATAAATAAAACGGGGAGCAGGGAACCGGGGCCGCGGGTCCGTGGGATGTCACCACCCCGGGACTCACCTGCGCAGAGCCTGGGGGTCGATGTCCGAGGGCTGCCAGAGCGCCTGGGGCAGCGCCCGAGCGAAATGCGCTGCGTGGAGCCCCGCGCCCGCGGCCACCTCCAGCACCCGCAGCGCGCCCCCGCCGCGCCCCGCGCACTCCCGCAGCACCGCCAGGATCGGGCCCTTGTTCCGCTCCGCCGCCGCCGGGACCTGCATGGCCGGCCCGGGGAACTCCAGCTCCCGGCACCGCCCCGCGCCGCGGGTGGAGCTTCCCACGGCGGGGAGCGGAAAAAGCGGTAGGAAGGAAAAAGAAGAGCTATGCGCCGCCCGGGAATCGAACCCGGGTCGCAAGAATGGGAATCTTGCATGATACCACTACACCAGCGGCGCGGGCGGGAGCGGCCGTGCCCGGGAGCGGCCCTGCCCCCGCGGCCCTGCCCGCCCGGGCTCCGCCGAGCGCCGCAGCCCTGGAACCGCAAAGTGCGGCTTCCGCGGGCACCCCAGCAAAACGGGACCCCCAGCCGCCCTTTCCAGCTGTCGCTGGTGATGCAGGTCTGGAGGCAGCCATCTGGAGCACAAGGATTAGGGGTTCAGCCCTTCCAAACTCAGGGATGCGCCAACAGGCACTTAGAAACTCCGGGAGGTTCCCGGGGAAACTGAGGCACAGCCGCCAGAACGTGACAGGGTGGCTGACAGCCAGTGGTGACATCCCACGGGTCAGGGTTGTATTTAAGCACAGTAACAGGTTCGGGGTGCTGCTGGGCTTTTATGGGATGTGAAACAAAGAAATTAAGAATTAGGAATTAAGCATAAAGAAATGCTTGACCAGAAGAGAGGGAGCTGACAAAAACCTATACTGCTCCCACAAGAGCAAGAAAAGTGTGAGACTGCAGGATAAGATAAAGAGCTAGAATACACAAACAGGATGCAAGGACAAAGGCACCACAGGATAAGGGGATTGTTTGGACCCCTAAGCCAGAAGGAACAGTATCAAAGTCCGAAAGGTGGTCAAAGGACTGAAAGAAGCATGTGCGAGAAGACAAGGTGAAAGTTCAGCCAAGGAGAAAATTGCTGACCTCATCCCAGAGACCCCCAGACGACCACTGAACTGACCAAAAATGAGCAGTGCGCAGCTGCAGAGGGGCGTGGAGTCATTTTAATATAAAGCAAAGACAAGGCGGGGTTAGGAAATGAATATGTATGAGGTGAATTGTGCAACCCTAGTTTGTAAAAGATAAAAAGAAAAAGCCAAATCTCAAAAGCGTGCATGCACCTCAGCGCTGAATAAATTCATACCTGCTCTTATAACAACTCTGCGAGTTACAGAGTTTTTCTATCTGCATTTCAGAGGTACCCTCCTGCACCCCTCCCTCCCTGGCCACTACCGTGGCAACGTGGCGGAAAGGCAAAGGTCACCCTCGTAGGGTGGCTCTGCAGCCCCTGGAGCCAGGCTGGAGCCTCCCAGAGACCCCAGTGTGTTTGTCACACCATCTCTCCCCAAAACTCTGGGTGCTGTCGCCAGCCACAGGGGTGCCGGGTGGACACTGCGGGGTGGCCGGCTGGTGGTCATGTCCGGCTCTGCACCTCCTGCCACGTGGGGACACCTTGGAGGGACCTCCTCGCTCCAAAGGTCACTGTGCTGCCCACTCCGGCCTCCTGCGCTGCTCATGGGATGTGCACATCAGGACTATTCACAGCGCTGGCCCCGTTGAGGGTGGCACCTCAGCCCCTGCCTCTGCACCTCTTCACTGTTCCCTGTCTGGGTCCTTTATGTCCCAGGAATGACCCCTGTCTGTCCCCTGCGTGTGCCGTGGCTCCACTGTTCCGTTTCCTGAAGGTCCCGTCCGGGTTTCCCGTGACTCCCGTGTCCCGTGTCCGCCTGTGCCGTCTTGTTCCCACGTGCCTGCCGTGCCCTTTCCCCTACTTGAGCCCCGCATGTTCCAATGTCCCCTGTGTGCATTCTGTCTTGTTCGTGTCTCGTGTCTGTCCCCACATGTCCCCTCTGTATCCCACGCAAGTCCCCACGTGCTCCCAGGGCTGGTCTCCAGTGTGTCCCTGCATCCTCGGTGTCCCCATCAACCCCCCACGTGCACCCCTGACATGTCCCGCGTGTGTCCAGTGTGTGTCCCCACCGTACCCCATCAGTGTCCGCTGTGTGCCCCCTCACCCCCCCCGTGTGTGCGTCCCCAGGTCTCACGGGTGTCCCTTGTGTGTCCCCGCACACCTGCGGGGTCCCGCCCGCCCCCGATGTGTCCCGTGAGCGTCCCCTACGTGTCCCTTACCCAGCGCTCGTGTGTCGCGTGTGTCGCGTGTGTCCCCGCACGCCTCCCGCGTGTCCCCCCGACCCGTTCGGCGGCTGTCCCAGCCCCCAACGCGGGCCCAGCGCTGTTCCTTTAACCAAGCGTGGGGGCGTGTCGGTGCTGGAGGGGCACGGCCCGGCCCGGCCCACTAAAGGCTCCGGCGAGGGGCGCGGGCGGCACTGTGCCGGGGGTGGCGGGGCCGGGGGCCGGGCCCGCAGGATGTACACGCTGACTCGCGGCCCCAGCAAGCTCGCCACGCAGCGCCGCACAGGTACCGGGGGGCGCGGGGCCGGGGGCCGGGGGGCTCCGGCCCGCGCTCGCCGCCCCCCCTGACGCCCCGCACGCCCCGCAGGTCCCACGCAGCAGGCGGTGGAGAGCAGCAAACTGGGCGAGCTGCGAGGGCGGCCGCAGCCCGGCCCGTGGCCCCCCGCCAGGTGAGCCCCGAGCCGCCGTGACCTTGGGAAGGGACCGGCGCTGGGGCGGCCGGGCCGTGACCTTGGGAAGGGGAGCGGGACGGCCGGGCCGCCCGGCGGGACGCGGGAGGGGGAGCCGGGGTCTCCGCTCGGTGCCGCTCGCCCCGGGGGTCTCGGCCGTGGCCGTGGCCGGGCGCGTCCCGCGGAGCTCGGTACACGCGCGGCGCGGGCCGCCCCTCGCCGGGGACGCGCCGGAGCCGCTGCCCCTCGTCCTTCCCACGGGCCGTCCCCGAAAATCGCGGGGAGAGGAGCGGTGGGGTCACGCCAGGGGGGCGCGGGGGGTCCCGGTGCGGGGCAGAGCCGAGGTCGGGCTCGTCCAACCCCCCCCGTGGACGGCCCCGATTGCACAAAGCGGCGGCGGGGCCAGCGTGACCGCCAGCCTTGGCCGTGCACCCACGGGGGCCGCGGAACCCACGCGGAGCTGGAGATCCCCTCTGTCCTGAAAGCCGAGGTGACACTTTGTGGGTGAATTCCAGTGTTGAGCGGCAATGCCTGGAGCTGTTGGCTGGGTGCAGTTGGGTGTTCCAGTGGCTGGGAAATGGTGATGGGACCCCTAAGGAGACCCTTTCCCGGCTGGAGAGCTGGAGTCAAAGCACACCCAGACAGGACAGTGGGACCCCGCTAGTTCTGCACCTTCTTTCCAGCTCCAAGAAATGGACGAGCCCCCCCAGTTCCTCTCCTTCCCACGATCCCTGGAATTTACTGGATGCTTCTGCCACGCTTGCCCTCCTCCTACCTGTCCAGTGCCCCTGGCTGTGAGGGCTGGAGGGTCACTGCCCTCCCCAGACCCTGCCTGCAGATCTGCAGAAGCTGCCTGTTCCCAGTCTCTCCTGCCCTCCAAACTCACTCCTAGGGCCCCTTAGACTTTGTCCCATGAGGAACGTGGCTGTTGCAGAGGTGTCCTGCCATAGAGCTGGGCAGAAAAGTCAAAATGCTGGAGTTTTGCATTGAACATGCTGCCAAGTCTCATCCCAAGTTTTTCCTTTATCTCTGGTGGGTGTTCCTGCATCCAGACAGGGGGTGGTTGAAGTGCCCCTCACCAGAAGGGATCCCAGCTCTGAGGAAGCCTGACCTGCTCCCACTTTGCAGAGTGTTACATCCCAGTCCTGGGGCACCCTGGGGACATCCTGGGCCCAGAGCTGTTCAGTGAACTTGGGTGTTTGATCTGCAGAGGATGGCACATCCCCTGTCCAGTACCTAACTGGATTTCACTTCCATTCCCTGATATTACTGCAATTTTGGTGGCAGATTCTTTATCTTAAGGACCGCACTTGGTGCTAGGTTGGAGAGTGGCAGCTGGTGCTTTTCCCCAGGGAGTTCCCCTTGCACCGTTCCTGTGTCAGAATCCCCTATCCCTGGGGGCTGGGCCCCTTTCCATCCCAGTCCTCGGGGACAGGGCTGGGTGGCTGCAGCTGTGGGTGAGTGTGTGCCCGGCAGGGCGACCAGGACACCTGAGCCACCCCAGTTCTTGCTGGGGTGGGCAGAGATCCCTGTGCCCTCACCCCCTCTTGCTTCCCTCCCTCCACAGCCCAGCGCCAAAACTCGTCTTCAACAGAGTGAATGGCAAGAGGCCCCCACTGCTGCTGCAGCAGATCTCGGCCCCTGAAGAATGTTACACCCTGGCCCACGAAGAGAACGTCCGTTTTGTCTATGAAGGTGAGGACAGAGGGTCCCTGGGGCAGCACCCAGGGGAGCTGGAGCAGATGGAGTCCCCTCCCCAGCACCTGCACTGTGCTGGGGATGTCAGTGGCAGGCACGGAGTCCCCAGCCTGGGGACTTGCCCTCCTTTGCTCTGCCTTCTGCTCCTGTCCCACAGCCCCCCACGCTGGGAACCCCTGTCCCAAGCCCACCCCGTGCTTGTTCCCCCTCCCCAGCCTGGCAGCAGGTAGAGCAGCAGCTGGACGGCAGCCGGAGCGGGGAGAGCGCCTGCGGCCCCGTGCAGTACGTGGAGAAAACCCCCAACCCTGGACTCAAAGGTAAGAGGGCAATGGTTGTGGCACTGTGGGGTCATCAGGCTCGGGGTGCAGTGAGTGGCTGTCAGCTCAGCCTGCATCTGAACAGGGCTGTGGTAGAAGGAGGAGGAGGATTCCAGTGCTGGATGTGCCAGAGGGGCTGGCTGGGTCTGTCCTGCTGGTGCTGAGGTCACTCTGGGGGTGCTGGGGGGAGACAGCTGGCCCCAGGCACTGTGGTGGGGATGTCCCTTTGTGTCCCTTGGATGTGCCACTGTGTTGCTGACTCCTCTGGGATTCAGAGCTTCTCCTGCTTCCAAGGGGTTCAGCATCATGCTGGAGAGAGAGGAGCTCCCCATGGGGACCTGCTTCTCCTGGGGCCAGCAGGACCAGTTGGGCATGGGGACAACACTTGTCTGGTGGCACCTGGAGTCAGGGCAGTGACAGCAGCCTGCAGGCTCTCGCAGTGGCTGAGAGCTACCCAAGGAAGAAAATGTCCCTGTAAGCCAGTGTGGCCTTCTGGGGACGTGGCACAGGGGTGGAGGAGAGCTGGGGGTGTCATTAGATTTGGTCTCAGGGAAAGGTTCTCCCCTCAGAGGTGCTGGCACTGCCCAGGCTCCCCAGGGAATGGGCACAGCCCCGAGGCTGCCGGAGCTCCAGGAGTGTTTGGACAGCGCTGTCAGGGATGCTCAGGGTGGGATTGTTGGGGTGTCTGTGCAGGGCTGGAGCTGGACTGGATGATCCCTGTGGGTCCCTTTCAGCTCAGGATATTTTGTGCTCCTGCTCCAGCTGCTCCCTTCTCTCCGTCTTTTTCAGACTTTGTTCCCATCGACCTGGAGGAGTGGTGGGCACAGCAATTTCTGGCCAAAATCGAGAACTGCTCATAAAAGGGAAGAAAAGGATGTGTTTGGTTTCTTTATAAGAGAAACGAAGCTGCGAGCACCTGGTCACAGCCCAGAACCGGTGGCGTTTTTGAACCACGTTTTTAAAAAATGCCCGAAGTGGAGTGACCCAGCCCAGTGGGACCGGACCACAGCCATGCCTGGCCACACGCCCTCCCCGTGCCCGGCAGAGGAGCAGCGTGTGGCCCCAGCCAGGATTCCTTAAGTGCCAGTTCTCGGACTGCTGCAGCTCCTGCAGCCTCCAGCTCCCAGGGACACTGCGGTGCCACGCTGGGGACGAGGGGGTGGCTCCCCCCCTGCAGCCGTGGCCACGGGGAGGACAGCGGGGTGCTGTAGCAGGACCGCCAGACAATAAAGCGCTGAAACTGCCCGTGGAGACGTGCTTGTGGGACAGGGAACAGGGGGAAGCAGGGGATGGCAGCATCAAGCCCTGCACAGGAGATGCTTCCAGCTGACTCGTGGCTCAGTGGGAACCTGGCTGCTGTGGATTCAAGTTATTGGAGCTCCTCTTGCAGCTGTATCCTTGCCCCAGTGATGCCTCATGTCCCGGGGCTCAGCCAGGGGCTGGTGCTGTCTGAGGAGATGTTTGGGATTTGGAGGGGGGGGGTGCACGGGCATCTGCAGGGGGCTGAGTACCCTGGTTGTGCTCCAGAGCTGGGCTGCAGGTGGGCAAAGCTGCAGGAATGGGAGTGCCAGAGCCAGCTCCCCACTGCCCTGGAGGCCAAAAGGCATTTTGAGCACCAGGCTCGAGGTCTCTTCCTGCCCTGTGATTGGGGAGCTGAGAGAGGATAGTTGTGGCTGCCTGAGGTAGAAAGCATGGGGACCCCAACTTCTGCTTCTGCAAAAAAACTCAGCTGATAGGCTTTTCCAAGCCAGACTTGAGCCCTTCCAGTTCTGGTTCTGTAGGACACCACTCTACCCCCATGTCCTTCTCCCCAGGCAGAGCTGGAGGCCAGCACAGGCTCAGTAGAGTCCGATTCCAAAGGAGGACAGGAAACACCCACTGGAAAAAAAATCATCTTTATTATTCCTATGATGGGGATAACAACCACACAGCAGCCAGGGGGGAGTAGGAGCTGCCCAGGAGCTGTGTTGTTTCTCCCACCTGGGAGGCCAGAACAGTGCCAGCAACAGCTGCCCCCAGCAGCACCTGCCCATGGAGCACTCCTGGTCCTGGTCCCTGCCCCAGGCTGGCACACCTTGCACTGTGGCTGTGACTGAAATCAGGAGCAGCACCATGCACAGCCTGCAGTGCCTGCCTCACTGACAGACAGGGTGTTACAGCCCCCCAGGACAGGGAAATGCTGCTTCCATAGCACTTCCTTCATTTAGGTGAAGGTGCCCCAGAGTGATGGAGGGCTGGGGCCAAGGGATGTCATCCTTGCCATCTCCCAGCAGCTCTACCATGGCATCAGGGGCAGTGTGGGGGCTCTATGTCCCCACCCCAGCACCAGGCCTTGCAGGGGGCATCTGAGCTAACAGGACATGGCTTCTTCCTGCTGTGTTCAGGGCACTGGCAGCCCGTGGCAATTTTGCATCTCAGCCCTTGAAACCTCCACATTCCCCCTTTTCCCTATCCCAGGCAAAGCCTGAGGGGGTTCTCCTACATCCTGCTGTACTTCCCTTTCCAGAAAACAGTTACTGGGATTTTCAGCACTTCAGCCACCCTCCCAGAAAAAAGCATCCCCCCTCTTTCTCCCCTAGCTGTGAAAGTCACTGGTGCTGGGATTCCCCCCTGCATGGTGCCCTGGCTCTGCTGCCCACCAGGATGCTCCCAGGGTGCAATCCCTCCCTGCCAGCAGCTCCAAAGGGCTCTGAGGTGCCCAGGGAGGCCATTCACCTGCTGGCTGCTAACTAATAAAAACACACATCTTCAAGCTCTGGGGAAATTCTTAGTAACATGATGCACCATCGTTCTGAACAACAACATTAGGCAAAGGGAAGAAATGGAACAGGAAAGAATTAGTCACAAGGGAAAAAATGAAAACCCAACCCAAAAATATAACCCAACCCCTGACAATGCAATCACTGAGAGGGAATCAGCCCTCCTTGCCATAAATATTAATTAGTTATGTGCAATTGTGTGTAGTACTATAGTGCAAATAGCTCTGCATTGATCATGGGGCAGCACCCAAGGGGCTGCCCCAGGTGACACAGGGACTAATTAAGGACAGACAAGAATCAACACAGATTTCCAACAAACAAACAAAAAACCCCAACCCAGCCACTGGGAAACTCCTAAAAGAAGTTGCTTCCTCCAACTGGACCCAGACAGGGGCAGGACAGGGCCTTTGCTCCCTGCCTGCTGCTGGCACAGCCTGGTGAGGGGCAGAGGGGATGGGCATGAGGATGCAGGACAGATATGGTCCGGCTGGAGCTGTGTGGGGTGTAAGGGGTGAGCTCAGCATGGGCACAGTGAGTGCATCGCTGGCTTTAAACTGGTCCCGTGGCTGCACTGCACAGTGTGGGGTGGTACTGCTGGCAGAACCCCTGCATGGGCACAACACTGAGGCCAGCAGCGTCCCTGGGCGCCCCACGACACTTCACACCCATCCCACAGAGCACAGCCAAGACCCTGCAGCACCTCTCACCTGTCCCAGCAGTGTCCCTGGGCACCTCTCGCTGCCTCCAGCTCTGGCTCCCCAGCCGTGCCCATCATGTGCTGTTCCTGGGGCTGAGCTCTGGGCATTGCTCCAGCACCATGTCCTACCTCTCACCCAGTGCCAGTTTCTGGCACCACAGAGCTCCCCTTGCACAGCTGGGGCCAGTGCCAGCTCCTCGGGCCAGGCTTGGCAAGCAGGCAGGAGAAGTTTTCCCAAGCACTTAAAGGAGACAGAGCCTCCTCTTTCCTATTGCTCCCATGAGCAATCCCAGCTCTTCCTGCTGACCCCAGGGACGGTTTGGATCTTGTGACAGCCTCTGGCTAAACCACGAGCAATCACCAAATAACACACGGACATGCGGGTGAGGACCACAGGCAGCCTCCCGCTGGGTGAGAGCGACAGGCAGGGAAGGGGGGAGCAGAGGGCATCCCGCTCCTCCTCTGCCAGCCCAAGTCCAACACCCCTCTCCACCCATCCAGGCTCCTCCCGGCCTTTTGGGCAGATTTTTTTGCTGGATGGATGGATGAAGGCTGGAGAGTGGCAGTGCCACACACGCACACCCACACACGCCCAGAGCCGGGGACAGCAGCAGGAGCGTTGCCATCCTCTCACCCCTCCCTGGTGAAAAGTTTTACATTTATACAGTATTTAAGACACGCTGATATATAAATTACTGTCTCTATATATACTATGTATAGGCTGAGGGCCAGTCCGTGACGAAGGGCACCAGAAGGGCTCATTTCCCTCTGTCCTCTGTGTAGTGCTGGAAGCGAGTGAAGCTCATGAAGACCTGCTCCAGGGAGATCTGGCTCACCGAGTAGTCTTCCAAGCGATACTTCTCTTTGGCTTTCTCCAGGGCCCCAAAGACCTGCAAGGGAGGGCAGGGACATGAGGGCAGCGTGACTTGGTGTGGGGGGACACCCAGGACCCCTGGGGGAACCCCAGGCTGCGACAGAGGAACCCCCAGGCTGTGCTAGGGAACACCACGATGTGATAGGGAGCCTCCAGCAGGGAAAGCAGAGAAAGCTTTTTTCTCTTGGGAGACCCAGGAAAATTACACCTTCCCTGGCAGGAGAGTGGGGGAAGCCAGGAGTATCTGACACCATTTAAAAATATATGCTGTGGATATGATTGCTTTGCACATTTATATGTGATAAATGCATACGTATATACGTATATACAATTACATAGATATATATATGTGTGTATGTCTGTATTTATACATATACACACACATATCTGGGTTTGAATCCCTGCCCAAGGTTTCTGCTAACACATTATATATATGTAAAATATGTATATAATATAGAAATAATTACATAGGATACTATATACATGACACATAACTATCTGTATTTAGCATACACATGTTTTATATTGAGCTACATGTAATATACATATTTATAAACCCACTCTCTCTTGTTGTTATATAATCCTATACATAGTTTTTATATAATCTGTATACTACACCCTCTATATACTCTATAGACTATACTATATACTTGATATAGAGTATATACTCCAGAGTACATAATCTGTAGAGTATTATCATATGCCCTATAGAGGATATAATATAGTATATATTGTACATATACAACATACAGTGTATTATATACTCTACATCCAGTGCATATAATATACAGATATATATCAAATATATATATAACCTTAGATACTGCATATGAAAACTATCTGTATGCTGTGACTATCTCTGTATAGCATACAGGTATTTACATATTATAGATAATGTACATATAGACAGTATATACAGAGAATATACTGTGTATACTCTATACATAACTCTCTGAGGGTTACACACTGTATCTGTGCTGTGGGTTTTTATCAGTGTCCCTGGGCTGGGACCCCTCAGGATCAGCAGCTGGGGAAAGGCACCGCCCACAGCCCCAGTGGGACCACACTGTGCCCACGTGGCACCACCTAAAGCCACTGCCAGGGGGCTCCTGGGGCGGAGGGGCAGGAGCAGGGAGATGCCAGCACAGGGAAGCTGTTCCCACCTGTGCCACGTTCCCACAGCAGAACATGGCGTGGGGAGGATGCACCACAGAAAGCGAAGCACTGAGAACACGGGAAGGGGCAGGGGAAGGGTGCCCAGTGCCCCCTTACCTGTGCCCAGCTGAGGTTCTTGTTGGTCAAGTGGTAATGCACCATTCCCTGGTGCTCGTGCTTCAGGACACTGCCTGGGGAATGGAGCAGGGAGAGGCTCTGTGTTAGGGAATGTGCTGAAGTTCACACCCTGCCCCTGCTCCAGGGGCAGCTGCTCCAGCAGCTCACAGTACCTGGGAAAGTCTTCTCCACGAAGGCCTTGAAGGCCTGCAGCTCACCCTCCTCCTCACTCCGGGTTTTGGCCAGCAAGGTGTATCCACTACCAAACTTGCTTTTGAGATGCTGGGGGCTGCCCAGGCACTTGAACTGCCCGTTCACCATGATGGCCAATCGTGTGCACAGCGCCTCACACTCCTCCATGCTGCAGGAAGGAGAGCACTCGTTCAGAGAATCCCAGGATGGTTTGGGTTGGAAGGAACCTTAAAGCTCATCTCATTCCACCTGCTGCCATGGGCAGGGACACCTTCCACTAGAACAGGCTGCTCCAAGCACAGTCCAGCATGCCCTTGAACACTTCCATGGCGGGGGGGGGCAGCCTCAGCTTCTCTGGGCATGTAAGCACCAGGACTCCAGCAGAAGCTTCTGGGAAGTGGCTGGAGGTCACTTCTCTCTGGACTCTTCAAGGAGGGAGATTTGGGTAAAGCCAGCCACTGGCTGCAGACAGTGTACGCCCACCCACCCAGCCCTGGAGGTGTGTCCCATCCCTTGGATCCCACCACTCTCCCTGATCTCTCACGCCAAGCCCTACCCAGCCAAGTGTTACCTGTGGGAGGTGAAGATGATGGATTTGCCACACTCCCGTGTCCGTGTCACCGCGTCCCAGAGCAAGCGCCGGGCCACGGGGTCCATGCCAGTGGAGGGCTCATCCAGAAAGATCACAGGGGGGCCACCAATGAGGGCAATGCCAGCACTCAGCTTCCGCTTGTTCCCACCGCTGCAGAGGAATCACAGAACCATTAAGGCTGGAAACGACCTGCGAGATCATCGAGTGCAACCTTCAGCTGAAAATGGGAGTGAGGAATGGGGACAGAGACCCTCTGTGAGCACAGGGAGCATCAGGCAAGAGGAGGGACAGCAGTTTGTCCACGCCCGCTCTCACCTGTAGGTCCTGACGAGCTTGTCGGCGTGTGGCTCCAGGAGCAGCCCCCGCAGCATGTTCTCCACGCAGCTGCCGATGTAGCGCTCGGGGATGCCGCGCAGCCGCGCGTACATGCTCAGCGTCTCGCGCCCCGTCATGTGCTCCAGCAGGGCGTCGAACTGCGGGCAGTACCCGATCCGCTGCTGCACCTTGGGCCGAGAGGAGCACACGGCAATCAGCTCATGGGCAGCTCGCTGAGCTGGAGGTGCCTGCACACCCACAGGCTGTGCTGCTCCTCTGTGAGGTTTTGCTCAGAATGATGGGAACTGAGCTGCAGCTCTGAAATTGTGGGTGGAACGAGGGAAATGCCCCCTGGAGCAGCTGGGCTGACAGGGATGGACAGATGCGTCTCTGGACAGCAAATGGGTGGGCTCACAATGCATCTGCCAAGCTTGCTCTTCACTGTGAGGGACCATTTTGGGGTGCCCAGGCTCTCAGGAAAAGGAAAGTCCCGGAGGGCTGGTACCTCCCCCATGTCCTGGTCACTTCCAGGGATGAGAGCATGAGAGAAGGCAGTTTCAGGGAAAGAAGCAATTTGGGGCATGCTCTCAAGGAGTGTTCTTCATGTCTGACCTTGTCTGGGATCCCCATTCACTTAAGACTTGGACTCAATGGTACTTGTGGGTCCCTTCCAAATCAGAATATTCTGTGAAATCTGGGACAGTGGCAGAGGAGGGACTGGACCAAAAGCCGAATCCCTGTTCATCTTTTCCTCTTCCAAAGGGAGTGGGCAAGGAGACCCCTAGCAGAGGTCTGGAAAGGTTTGATACCCTCATTTTAGAGACCACTCTCCAATATTTCCCACATTTCCTACTATGGACGTAAACCTTTTGATGAAGGGTCTCCTACCCTCACCAAGTTTGGCCTCCATTTGTATCACATCTGTAATCCCAGTGGAGAGGAGACTGCTACCACATGGCCAGATAGTGGAGAGCTGAGCTAGCCAAGGACACAATGTCCCTGGGATATTGTCTCTGCCTCTGGAACTGCAACCGTGTCCTCTTGGAGGCATCTGCAATGTGGCTCAGCCCAGCCAAACACAGGATGGTCTGCAACACCACCCCCGCCCCTGCAGCCTTGGGTACCTTCTTGATGTTGGCCAGAATGCTGTGGCCATCCACAAAGGCATCCCCCGATGTGATGCTCTCGTCACCCGTCAGCATCTTGAAGGTGGTGGTTTTGCCTGCTCCGTTGAAGCCAAGGAGACCAAAGCATTCCCCTTTGCTGACTGCCAAGGAGATCCTGTCCACTGCCAGCAGGGACTCCCGGCTGTCATAGACCTGGAGGAGAGCACACACGTGTCACCGCTCGATGGCACGGCAAGGCAGGCCCGAGGACACGGCTCAGACGGCAGCAGGATGCTCAGGTCATCTCGCCTCACCTTGGTGAGCTCCTTGATGACCAGAGGACTGCTGAGAGACGACAGCAGTTCTGGTGGTGACTCCAAAACCTTCTTCCTCTCATCTGCCACATCCCTGTCCTCTGGCAGCACAGACACCCTGTTCAGCAGGGCCACCTGAACACAGGGGAAGACACACTCTGTGTCACCTGGCTGCTGGGTTCCTCCAGTGTCCCCAGCCCTGGCAGGATACAGCCCTTCCATCAGCCACCTCTGGGGATACCTCACTCCCTTTGCCAATCCACACACTTAACAGGATTGGCTGCTCCAAGCTCCGGAAATGTTCCCTGGGAAGATGATTTAGGGGAAGAGGGCCCATCTCCAGCTCACAGGGACTCCTGGGCTGGGCTTAGAGGGCACAGCTCCCTCCCACGTGCTTCACTCACCCATTTCCGCCGCCTGCAGATGCCACAGGCCAGAGTTTTCAGTCTCCAGAGGAGGTTTGTCTCAATGAGGAAGAGGAGGAAGAGGAAGGAGAAACCCTGGACAGCCAAGGAGGTCAGGTACCGCCCGATCCCAGGGGTCTCCCAGGAAAAGTAATTCATCTGGTAACTGATATCTGAGGAAAGATGGAAAAAAATCAACTCCTGTATTAATCCACAATTTGGGGAGAGGCAGATAAACTCCAGAGGAAGCTGTGAACCCAAAGCTTTGCCAGACTCATCTCCATCCCACTCTGGCTCCCTGCCCACAGCTCTTTCCAATGCTTCCCACAAGAGGATATGGGTCTGGAGGGGATCTGGCAGAAGATGCCCAGTGGAGGCAGGCAGAGGACACCAATCTTGGGATTGGGATTTCTTTACTCATCTGTGAAACTTCCTCTAGCCCACATTTTCCTCCAAATCATGAGTAAGGTGATCCAGTTAAGGAACTTTTTCCTATGTATGTCCTAATACACTGCCCAGTTTTTGCTCTAAAATGGTACCTGCAGCTACTGCCCAGGCAGAGGCCCCATGATACTGCCCCAGTTCCTCCATCCACCCCACACAACCCAGTGTGATGCTGTGGGGCTTGGCCAGGTGAGGACATAGAGACTCACTGAAGGCCTTGCAGATGAAGATGGCTTCAACAGAGGAGGTGCAGAACTGAATGAACTCGTAGTTCTGGTAGAAGTCACTGATGCACTGACCCAAGCAGTAATTGGGTAAGACAAGAAAAACTTTATCCAAGGTTTTGGAGAGGTCCACCAAGCCCAGCTCTGAGAGAAAACAGGTGGATCAATGGATTAGAGACTGCTGGTTTGGGAGAAAAAACCCTGATACCGCCAGGTTTAGAGGGAAAACAAACGTATTTTGTCACATTTAATGGGTAGGAATGGACTGTTGTAGGGTTTTATGGCTGTTGTGGGAACAGCCCTGGGGTGAGAGAGCCCCCTTGGGGCCTGGACCTTGTTGGTGATGGCTGGGCAGGTACAGAGGGCAGTGACCCACCTGGGATGCTCATGATGGTGACGGCGAGGAAGGTGGCGGTGCCAGAGAGGATGTTGAAGATGGTGAGACGGGTGTAGGCTGTGGCTGCCACTGAGAAGAAGAAGCTGAGGAGGTACATGAGGGGGATGATGGCCCAACCATAAAGGAGGAAGATCAGCATCACATCAACGAGGTGGCTGTCTTGGGTGAAGGCTTGCACATTGAAGGCTTGGAATATCACCTGGGGCAAAGCAATGTAGGGAAAAGGCACATTTGGCTTGACCTCAGGCGATGGCTCCTTGTCCCAGTGGCCCAGGGTGATATCAGCACTGCACTGACCCAGACAACCCCTCATGGATGGGTCTTACCAGTAGCCCACAGCTGTCCCCAGGGGAGGCCCTTTCTGCAGACTGGGATGCAGAAGGGCAGATCTGGGGAATTCATCTCTAAGATCCCACAGATTTGACATTTTCTAGTCCCAACAGCAAAGTGTTCAGCTGCCAGAGGAAACTGCATGGACATGCTGGGCACGGTCCAGCTCCCAGCAGGACCAAGGGACAGCTTTCTTGCTGGTCCTTTCTACAGAGACAATGACGGTGGCCTTATCCTCCCTGCACCCACACACATCCCAGAGGAGCAGCACCCAGCGCTCTCACCAGTGGGGAGGGCATTGGGGTGCCAGGGGTGACTCACCAACATCAGAGCACAAGGGATGAGGAAGTTGATGATGTCCCAGAGCAGGGCAGAAAGCCAGAAGTTGACCACATAAACGCCGCTGACGAACTGGACGTGCTTGGCCTTGATGGCGCGTTCGCTGACCAGGAGCAGCGCAAAGGTGCTGGCGAGCGAGGCCATCCCATACAGCAGGTTGATGGCAATTGCAAAGCCAGTCTGGCCTCTGTGGGGGCAGGGGGACATGTTAGGGCAGGGGCACCTCAGCAATCCAGTGCCAAGGCTGCACAAGGACAGCATAGAATCATAGAATAGTCTCAGATGAGATCCACAGAGATCAATCACCAGTCTGACCCCTGGCCCTGCACAGACATCCCAACAATCACACTCTGGGCATCCCTGGCAGCACTGTCCAAACACTCCTGGAGTGTTTGCCAGGCTCATCTCCATCCCATCTGGCAGCCTCAGGGCCGTGCCCACTCCCTGGGGAGCCTGGGCAGTGCCCCAGAACCCTCTGGGGGAAGAACATTTTCTTGATTTCCAGCCTAACCCTCCCCTGACACAGCTTCAGCCATTCCTTTGGGTCCTGTGTCTGGTCACAGAGCAGAGATCAGCACCTGTCCCTCTGCTGCCTCTCTTGAGGAAGCTGTGGCCAGCACACCCACACTGGGCTTCTTGAAGAGGCTAACTGCGCCAACATGCTGAAGAAACACTGAAGGGAGACAAAAAGACACAGCCCACCCTGCACACCACAAACCTACACCCAGACTTGGTGAGGTCCCAGACATGGCCCCTCTGGTCTAGGTGAGGTTCAGAGGCCCTGGATGTGGAAGACCACAAGAGCATGGCCACATGGCTTCCCCTACTATGAGTACCCAGGAAAAACTAACCCCAGCCAGTATCTGGAGGGGAACAGCCAACCTCTGAGATGTGCATGGGGTGACATGACTGCCAGGCTCAGCAGGAAAGTCATCTCCACAGCTTTGCTCCCCTGATCTCCTGAGCACAATCACAGCCACATTTGGGTCTGAAAAGCTCCAGCCTGGCTTCTCCACCTACCCCAGCACAACCAAGCCAACCGGCACCCATGGGAGCTCTGAGCCCTAGCAGGAAAGTGAACCCCTGCCATCATCACACGTACTCCATGAGCTGGTCCTTGGCCTTCTCAGTGATGTTGCGGGGCTGGGGGTAGTTGGTGACGGTGATGGAGGCGTTGGGGCCTGCCAGCACCCTGAGGATGGCGCTGTCAGCCAGCATGAGGGCGGTGGCCGGGGAGTGGTAGGCCTGGTTGTTGAAGAGCGCAGTGACCAGCGTGCGGTTCCTCACGCCCTCGAAGGAGGCGGCTGCAATGTAGTGCTCGTTGAAGGCTCCTCCTTCCTCGGAGGCCCGGGAGATGAGGTACTCCTCCAGCCCACCTGCCAAACAGCACCCTGTTACGGACAGGCTCCATCACACCAGAGCTAACTGAGGCCAACTGGAAAAGACCCCAGGCAGCCTCAGCCCTAGTGGGCCCCTAGTCCTGATCACAGAAACACAGATCCATAGAATGCCCTGGGAAGGACCCACAAGGATCATGGTAGTCCAACTCCTGGCCCTGCATAGGACGCCCCAACAACCTCACCCTGTGCCTGAGAGCATTGTCCAAAGCTCCTTGAGCTCTGGGAGCCTTGGGGCTGTGACCATTCCCTAGGGAGCCTGTTCCAGTGGCCACAAATGGGGTTATGAAGGCAGCTCTGCTCAGGTGAAGAGAGGTCCTGCCAATGATGCTGCACTTCCATGCAGGAAAGAAAGCATCAGCTATGCCACAGCTGGGACCTAAACCACCCACACCAGTGCTCCCTGGGCACCCTGCTGGGCACCACCTGCCCCAGGGGTGCTCCCAGAGCCTCACCCAGCACCTCCAGTGGCGACTGACGCTGGGCATCCAGCAGCTCCGTGTACTCCTCCGCCAGCCTCTGCGGCAGCCCCGCGGCGCCCGACACTGAGAAAGGCACGATGGTCTGCCCGTAGGGCTCCAGCGTCAGCCGCAGCGAGGACGAGTCCCGTGGGCCCGGGAAGGTCTTGGCCACCACGAGGGCAAAGGCAGTGAAGATCAGTGGCACAAGGAACTGTGCTGCCACCATCTTCCAGTTGCGCCAGCTGTACATGGCGCGCTTCATGAACATGGCGTAGAACTGCTGGCAGCACAGGTAGAACTGCGAGGGGAGAGGCCAGGTCATGGTCAGCCCTGCCAGCTGCAGACACATCACCCCTTGCAGCTGATGTGGAAGATGACCCCAAACCACCCCCATCCTGTATGCACCTGGCAGCCTGCAGCAGAGCCTGCTCTCCAGCTAAGCCTATAAAGGGATTAGCAGGGCAGCTGCCCAACTCCAGCACATCCAACTCCATGGCTTCTGAAGGAGTCACACTCACTTTGAGATCTCAGATGTTAAAAGCAGCTTTAGCCATGACCTTTACCTTCCTCCACCTCCCAGCAGCTGAGGCTCCCAAACAGGATTACTGCAGGGCAGCTGTCGGCCAGAGCAACCGGCTGAGAAACCTGTGAGTGCCCAGCCCAGCCCCTGCAAACACCTTTTGTGCTTTTCAAACCCAGCAACATCCTTCTCCCCCTCTGCCTGTGAAACGTGCCCTTGAGGAGACAAGAGATATTGATCACAGGCACCGAGGCAGTGGGGCATGAAGGGATGCCAGGGAACTGGAACATGAGCCTAGCGAGGGAAGGAAGATGGATTTTCTCACCTTCCTTCTGAAAAACCCCAATGATGGAACAACAGCAGGTAGAAAACCACATTAGATCACCTTGAAGAGCAACTCAGACTCCAAGATTAACATGAAGAGGGTGGAAGTGACCAACCCTACCACCCCTAAAAATCATTTGTCCTAATGATGCAGATTCCAGCTCCATCTTTCAGTTTGATGTTCCAAACCACATGCAACAAGAGCAACCGTGGGGGAGGCTCCACCTGGTAACCCTAATTCACCCCCCCTTTTCACATGATCCCTCCCCAGTGTTGCTGCTCTGACTCAGCACTCACCCCAGTGTTGAGCTTGATGCTGGAGCAGTCCTCGGTGATGAGCGCCCCGCTGTCATCCGTCATGTCCGTCATGCCACTCAGGCTGCTGGAGTCATCCATGGCCCAGTCGTTGGAGCGTCTCTCATGCTGGTACTGCAGAGCAGGCAGCTGGATGGCCTGGATATCCATGCTGGAGTCCACGAGCTTCCCAACCCTGTGCCAGGAGGGAAAGCGGGTGATGAAACAGAGATCCAGGCTGGATACAGCTGTTCTGAGCTGGGGAAGCCAAAGCCAAGAGACCAAAGCAAACAAGCGCCCCAGAGAGCTGTGCTGGACATCACCAAAGCACACTGGTCACCTCTCCACCTACCTGAGGAACACCTCCTCCATGGTGGTGACTGAGGCACCATAGCTGGCGATGCCCAGCTCCTCCCGCCGCTGCTCCAGCTCCGTGAACAGAGCCTCAAACCTGAGCAGAGAAGGGAGATGTCAGACACCAACACTCATGGGAGGGGGCATTCATGGGTAAAGACCCTCTGGGAATCAGTCCTGCAGCTGCCTGGAGTCCTGCATCCAACCCCAGGGTGACCTGTGGCATTGAGCCCACCCCTGTCCCCAAGGACAGATTTTGGGCTCCGCTGGCTGTTTGTTCTTGCCTCAGCTACCACAGATCACAGAATCATGGAAACACAAAAGAGTTTGAGTTTGGAATGGACCTTACTGACCATCTCATCCCACCCCCTGCCATGGCAGGGACACTTTCCACTATCCCAGGCTGCTCCAAACCACATCCTGGCCTTGGACAGTTCCAGGGATTCAGGGGCAGCCACAGCTTCTCTGGGCACCCTGTGCCAGGGCCTGCCCACCCTCACAGCCAAGAATTCTTTCCCAATATCCCATCTATCCCTGCCCTGTGGCAGTGGAAGCCATTCCCTGTGTCCTGTCCCTCCATCCCTTGTCCCAAGTCCCTCTGCAGCTCTCCTGGAGCCCCTTTAGGCCCTGGAAGGGGCTCTGAGGTGTCCCTGGAGCCTTCTCCTCTCCAGGTGAGCACTCCCAGCTCTCCCAGCCTGGCTCCAGAGCAGAGAGGCTCCAGCCCTTGGAGCATCTCTGTGGCCCCCTGGAACTGCTCCAAGAGCTCCACATCCTCCTGCTGGTGCCTCCAGACTGGGAAGGAGCACTGCAGGAGGGGTCTCACGAGAACAGAGCAGATGGAGACAATCAGCTCCCCTGACCTCCTGGGTCCACAGATCTGATTTCAGAGCCAGAACATCCTGCCTCATCTGTGCCACCCTCAGCACTACAGGAGGAACTGAATCCCGTTTTCCATGACCAGCGCTGATGCAGGGAGCAGCTCCCTTTTCCAGCAAGCCTGTGAGCCAGTGTGTGAAGACAAGGGGACCCCCCCAGGGAGGGGCAGCAGAGGACAATGCCATTACCTGTGTGTGCTCTCCTTGGGCAGGATGAAGGACAGCTCTGCCCCAGCATTGCTCTCCATGGTGGCGTTGGGCACGTAGTGGCAGATGAGGCGGGAGATCTCCCCCAGGCTGCAGTAGGGCTCCTTCACCATCACCATGTGATATCCTGCCCCTGGGGGGAGCCACGAGAGAAGGGAGAGGAGGGTCAATCCCAGCCCAACCTGGGGAGGGGGCTGGAACAGAGAGGGATGCACAGGCACCGCTTTGCACCAGACATGATGCAAGATGTGAGGATGTGCCTCAGGAGAGGCTGAACAGCAGGATGGGGAGCAACATGCCATCAGGCAAGGAGCAAGGGATCCCCTCCCTGCTCTCTATCCCCTCCTGCTCCTCCCTGGCCAGGATAAGACCTGGAACACAGCCTGCTGCTGCTCCCGTACCGTATTTGCGCTTGAGGAAGAGCGAGGAGCCGCAGCACTGCAGCTCGCCCTTGGCCATGATGGCGATGCGGTCCCCCAGCAGGTCTGCCTCGTCCATGAAGTGAGTGGTCAGCAGGATGGTTCTGTTGCTCCTCTGCTGCTGCAGGAGATCCCACGTGGCTCTGCGAGAGGCTGGGTCCATCCCTGACGTTGGCTCATCCAGCATCACCACCTGCACGCAGGAGACAGGTGCAGGTGAGAAAGGGCTGGGAGAGGCCCAGCAGCACAGGAGGAGACACCTCAGGGCCAAGGAGGAGCCTTGGCCTCACAGCAATGATCTTGGGGAGCAGCCACGGGACAGCAGAGCCTCAGGGCACAGCCCTCATAGTGGGAGTGCTCCTGCCTGTTCCCCGCTGTCCCTGCTTCTCCCACTGGCTCACCACAGATGAGGAACAGCCTCAGAGCCACCCCCAGGACCTGCACTGGCCCCAAGTGCAAGGTGAGCCCACCAAAGCCACCTACCTTGGAGTCCCCGATGAGGGCGATGCCGATGGACAGCTTGCGCTTCATGCCCCCGGAGAGAGCCTTGGTCAGGGAGCGGCGCTTGTCCTCCAGGTTGAGGATCCTCAGGATGTGGTTGATCTCCTCAGGACACTTGGAGGGTGGGTATCCTTTCAGCTGCCAGGCAGGGGAAGGGAGGGATGAGCACACCTGCAGGGCTGCCAAACCCCACCCCACTCCCTCCTCCACACACAAACAGGAAAGTGGGGAAGCAGAGGTGGACTCCTGCCCACCCCTGCAGGAACTGGCACAGCTGGCTGGGGTGGTTCCATGGACTTGTGCTGTCTGAGACCCTCCACTCCTCCACCAGCCTGCAGATGAGGTGGGAAGAGGATGCAAGGGCTGTTCTGTTCATCATGGAATCATGGAATGGTTTGGGTTGGAAGGCTCCTTTAAGATCATCTAGGCCAACTGCCCTGCCATAGCAGGGACACCTTCCACTATCCCACGTTGCTCCAAGCCCTGTCCAACCTGGCCCTGGACACTTCCAGGGATCCAGGGGCAGCCACAGCTCCTCTGGGCACCCTGTGCCAGGGCCTCTCCACCCTCCCAGGTAAGAATTTCTTTTGTATATCCCATTTAACCCTGCCCTCTCTCAGTGTGAAACCATTCGCTGTTGTCTTGTCATTCAAGGCCCTTGTCCAAAATCCCTCTCCTGGAAACCCTGTAGTCACTGCAAGGGGCTCCAAGGTCACCCTGGACTCTTCTCATCTCCAGGTGAACACCTCCAACTCTCCCAGCCTGGCTCCAGAGCAGAGGTGTTCCACCCTCTGATCATTTTTGGACCCACTTGATAGATCTGACCACACTTCCCCACCTCCAGGAGCCCAGGTACCTCCCCCAGGGCTGCCCCCCTGCTCAGTGCCAGGCTCACCCCTGCATAGAAGTGGAGGTGCTCTTCCACTGTCATGTTGTCGAAGAGGACGTCGTGCTGGGGACACAGCCCCAGGCTGCGGCGGATCAGGACCATGTCCTGGGAGATCTCGTAGCCGTTGATGTAGGCCTGCCCGCCCGTCGGGGAGTGCAGACCTGTGGGGAGCAGCACACAGCAGCTCAGGGTGACCCCAGTGGCAAAGAGCCAGTTGAAATGTGGAGGGTCCTGATGAGCATCCCCCCCCCGCCAGCTTTCTGCCAAAAACCAGAGCAAGTCTGGCTCGTGCTCAGGCTGGGGTACAGCAGCTTCCAGGATGGGCTGCAGGGCACCCACAGACGGGAACTGGGCCCGCCACTGCAAAAAGGAGAGCAACAGGCAGGTCAAACATGGTTCTGAGCTGTGCAGAGAGCCAGGCAGGGCCAGGGCAGAGCTCCAGGAAAGTCCCATGAGCCCCCTGAGTTGCCAGAAGTAGTTCAGAGCAATGGAGAACAGAAAAGGACCATCAAAGGTCACTGTCCATCGTGCCAAAATAGGTACCCTGGAGCCCAGCAGCTCAAGAATGACGAACACCAGTTCTGCTTTATCATGGCAGAGATACAATCTACAGAGAGCCCTACAGAGAGCAATCCTACAGCAGGTCCAGTCTCTTCTCACTGCTCTCCAGCACAAAACCTGCCTGTCATTTCACCCAGTGGCTGATCCCACTCTTGTGGAAGGCTGAGCTCCCCCATGCTCCTTCCACCTCCCTCTCACTACTCTGGCATTCCTGGCCAATAGCTCAGCAAACTGAAGATGCTCCAAGGAAGATCAAAAACCCCTCCCCACCCTCAGAGACAGGGTCTGGCTCTTCTCTGAGGGTCAAGCCATTGGATCCTGTAGCAGAATGCTGCATACCTGTGAGCATGGACAGAGTGGTGGTCTTCCCAGCACCATTGTGTCCCAAGAGGACGGTGATCTGCCCTTCGTACATGTTCACTGTCAGGTCCTTCACTGCCTCTTTTGTCTTGTTTCCCACTTTGAAGACCTGTGGAGATCCCATCCATGAGCTGGTGCTGCACTTCAAGGAAGTGCTTCAGCTCCACACAGCAGGCAAAGCCCAGGGTGCTCACAGGGTGTTAGCAGCAGGCAACAGGTCTAATTCAGGTTCAACTCAGACGTCAACAGGTTAAATACAGATGTCACTGCACCTCTACATACCCAGCACTTCATCCCACCACAAAATGCAGCCAGGTCTGGGGAAGAGCCATACCCAGCCCTAGGGCAGCACAAGGATACAGAAGGCTTGAATAACAAAACACCAACATTATTGTGTGTTTGTGCCCTGCTGGTCAGTCAGTACCTTGGATAGGTGCTTTATTTTGATGCCTGACACAAGGTCAGCTGGTTCCTCCTCAATGTACTGACTCTTCAAGGCTTTCTCAGGGTCCTCCTCCTCCTCTTTCTCTTTCCCCACAACAGTCCTGGGCCGCCCACACCAGTACGAGGGCTGATGGAGGAAGGGAGAGACAGAAATCAGGCACAGGCAGAGCCCATCTTCTTCCCAGCCTTGGCCACCCTTCTCCTTGCTCAGACACCTCCCAAAGACCTCCCAGACTGCTCTCCTTGGCCTGGGAATTACCAACCAGAACATCTTCAGCAGGCAGGGCTGACATGATGGAACAGCTCCTCCTGCCTTCCCCCACCTCTCCCTTACAGTGACTGCCTGGGGTTACACACCAGCTTTTCCCCATCTTTATCTCCATGGAAAAAATGCCACTGAGAAGTAAAATCACTCAGGCAGAACCATCCTGCCCAGGGAGCCCATGGATGATCACCCCCTCCAAAACCCCTGAGAAACACTAAACACAACCTGGGGTCCAGCTGCTGCAGTGACAGCCCCTTTTTTTTGACCTGGCCCTCTAGGAATGAAACTAAGGGTTTGGGACCTTAAATTGGGAATTGGGTTTGGGACCGTGGGAATAACAATTCAGTAACTCCTGGATGCAAAATCAGCTTTTGTCAATGGCCACATCTCTGTTTCCCTGGTCTGACTGCAAGAGTGAGATGCTGGAGTGAATCCACTCTGGAATGAGGAATTTGGAAGGGAGAAGGAAAAGCCCCTCTATCAAATAACAAAGGATCCATCTCCAGTATCCAAATAGAACATATCCTCTCTGCAGCCATGGAGCCACAGTGCCCACTGCAGCTGCAGCTGCTGAGGGTGATGCCAAGTGTTTGGCTTGGCAGAGTGAGGGAGGCTCAGCTGATGGGGTGACAGCTGTCACCTACCCCCTGGCACGTGGTGGCTGGCAGTGGGACACAGGTCACCCATGCCTGCCTGCATGGCAGTGCTCAGGGGTGTCAAATAGCTGGATCTGCTTGCTCCCACCTGGGGTTTCTCTCCAATGCCTTTGTTTAGACCCGGAGACATTTAAGAACACCCTGCAGAAAGTGCTGGCAGAGAGATTTAAAGCCAAGACAACCTTCATCCACAGTAAAAACCTACAGCTGCATCAGCCTTTAGTAAGGACATGCTGCAGACCCCGTGATTTTGGAGGCCAGATGGTGCCACCCTCGCCCATCAGACTGGCCAGCTGCATGGCACAGAAGTGGGGACTGTCCCAAGTGATGCCCCTCAAGCCCAGGGAAGGGGTGTAAGCAGTGCTCACCGTGAGGAAGAAGTACCAGGGCTGTGGCACACCGTACTCCCCGGGGAACACGGCCTCCACGTACCAGGCCACCACGCCATAGAGCACCGAGTCCAGGAGCAGCATCCCCAGCACCTGGGCCAAGGTGAAGTTGTCATCCACACTGATGGGCTTCATGAGGTCCCTCCACTGGATGCCAGTCCCTGCAAGGCACACAGGACACTGCTACCCCTGCATCCCCAGGAAGTCCATCTTCTCCAGCACTGGCAGAGAGCAGCCCCTCTGCCAGCTCACTGCTCCGTAACCAGGAGCACCTGCACAGCTCTATAATCCTCTGCAGATGGAGGGGAAAGAGGCACTGACACCTTGAGGCTCCCCACCCCACCATGCTCCTTCCATGCCATTTTCTGCCACTGCCTGGGAAGAAACGATCCCTTCTCCAGCATCACCCCTCCATAACTACAGCCACCGAGCCACTGGCACATTTAGTAAATGCATGGCTCTGCTGGAACCAACAGCAGACTCTTTTAAATTAAAGAAATTAAAGATACATATTGTACAGGAGGAAATGCAATGATTCCCATCCATTAGGACAGAATTCCCTTGGTAATTAAAGCAAGGATGGCATTTTGCCCAGGGGAACAGACACAAGTTTGGAGATTTGGGAGCAATCAGCTCTACTAAGAAGAAGGAAAGTGCTTCTCCTCCCCGATGTCTTTCCACCAGGAAGGGGATGCTCCTCTCCCCAGGAACAGCCCTGCTCACCTTTCCCTTCAAACATGCCGATGAGCTGTGCCCCCATGGCCATGGCCACGTTGGAGATGAGGCAGGATGCCAGCTTCTGGCTGTGTGACATCAGGTCATAGCGGGGTGAGATGAAGAAGTAGGGGATGTAGGAGAAGAAGTAGAGGAAGCCACCAGCGGCAGCGGCGACATTTGCTGCCAGCACAGGGAAAAGCGGGAGGGAAAACGTCAGGGTGATGCCAGCCAGTGCTCCTCACCCACCCAGGGACATCCCAGATTTGTGCACAAAGCATGGCTGTGTGGGGGCAGAACAAGGACATGCCTACATCCCACAGCAAGGCAGGAGCCTGTCCCCAACCCCAATGCCATGGTGGGCAGCTGCAGAAGCCCCTGCCCATCCCAGAGCAGAGTCTGGGGCCAAGCCAGCCAGATGAGGCCCTAAGACAGGAGCTGGTGATAGTACCAGGGAATGGTCTGGGTTGAAGAGACATTACAGAACACCTTGTCCCACCCCCTGCCATGGGAAGGACACCTTCCTCTAGATCAGGTTACTCCAAATCCCATCCAACCTGATCTTGAACACTGCCAGGGATCCAGGGGCAGCCACAGCTTCTCTGGGCACCCTGTGCCAGGGCCTGCCCACCCTCCCAGGGAACAATTCCTTCTCAATATCCCACCCATCCCTGCCCTGTGTCAGTGGAAGCCATTCCCTGTGTCCTGTCCCTCCATCCCTTGTTCCAAGTCCCTCTGCAGCTCTCCTGGAGCCCATTTTTGGCCCTGGAAGGGGCTCCGAGGTGTCCCTGGAGCCTTCTCCTCTCCAGGTGAGCACCCCCAGCTCTCCCAGCCTGCCTCAGAGTAGAGGAGCTCCATCCCTTGGACCTGCTCTGGTTTGGGAAGCAACAGTACTCACATCCCTTTCCACACACTGTGTAGAAAATGCAGCCAAAAATGGGAAGAAATGCCCCCTCCACAAGTCAAAGTGGTCAGTAAAAAGAGAAAGCGTTGTGAGGGGACTCACCTCGTGAGAAGAAGGTGCTCACCATGAAGTTGAAGGAGATGGAGGAGATGGAGAAGATGGCAAGGAAGGTGAACACTAGGGTGGGGTCACTGTTGGTGAGCACCGCTCCCTGTTCGCTCACCTGCCAAGAAAATCTTGTGAAGCCCAGAGCTGCTGGAGCCAGCCATGGCTGTAGCAGCACAGAGCTGATGTTCTCTGAGTGTTGGAGACAAACTGAGATGGGTGAGAACATCCAGAAACTCCCAGATCACTCCAGGGGGAGGAAACACAGATAGTCCCCATGTGATGCAGGGTCTAAGGGGCAGGGGACACCCTGGCCAGCACCCAGACAGCCCCCTCCTGCTTCCCCTGGTATGGGCACATGCAGAGGGGAGAGCTCAACACCCTCCAGAGGCTGTGGGAGCAGGGTGCTCCTGCTCTGCATGCAGTGTCCCTGGGGATCCATCCCCCACTTCCCTCCAGGGGGAGTCACCCCTGCTATGAATGCAACTGTGGGGCAGCACTGTCCATCTCAGTCTGGGAAACCCAAACTCCAGTCTTTGGAGGAGTCCTGGGACACCAGGACCATCCCATGGCAGAGTGGCCCTGTCATTCCTGTCCTGTGCCAGCACAGAGCTCAGGGCCTGGGGACAGATGCTCACCTTGACACAGAAAAGCACGGTGACGAAGAACACGGACACCAGGAGGAAGAGGAAGAACATGAGGAACCAGGCGCTCCAGTGCAACCAGTTGCTGAGGCCCATCATGTGCATGTACTCCTGTGGGAGGTCACTGTGTCACCCAGGGCTGCACCCACAGTCCCCAGGCACGGCTGGGGCAAGGCAGAGGTGGCTCTTCCCCATAGCACAAGCAAAGAGGTGGCAGCCCCAGGTACCACCAGAGTGGTCCTACACAGCCACCAGCATGGCGTGGTGTCCCCCACCTCCCCAAAGAAGGGCTCCCACCACTGCAGGATCCCTCAGAGAGCTGAGCTGAGCCCAAACCCAGAGCAGGGTGCCAGTGGTGCCACCAGGGCCACCCAGCACAGGGCAGGACACCCAATACCTGGGGGAAGCCAAGCCCTGCTGCTGCAACCACGCAGCCGAGCTCCAGCCGTCCCACAGCACACACACAATGGGTGTCTACATGCAAAAGGCAAAAATCTTCCTTCCAACAGGCTGAACTCTTGAGTCCACGAACTCTGGAACCCACACATGTTGCCCTCTCTCCCAGCCCAGGAGAAACACCATCCCTGAGGTTCAGCACCCTTGGGTTGTACAGCAAGGAGAACGTAGCCTCCTCATGGCAGCAGGATTAGCAACATTCTTCCCTGGCGCTTGTTAATCCACTGCCATCCTCACCTCCTGCTCACTGGCTCTACACCCAGCAGGGATTTTGTTCCTACTCTAAAGACATCATCCATTGGGAAAGGCTGCAGAAGGAGGGGAGCACATCCCAGAGTTCACCTTCAGCTTCTTCTCCTTCTCGTGGACGACGGCGCGGACGATGTTGAGCGAGGTGTAGGTGAAGCTGAGCATGAGCAGCAGTGGCAGCTGGTTCTGGATGGCCAGCAGGAAGAGATCATTGACGTAGGCCGGGAAGGGGAAGCGCTGCACCACCACGGTGATGTTCTCCAGCAGGCTGGCAGAGCTGGCACTGGTGTGGTACTGCATGATGGCCCTGTCCACTGCGTGCTGCACCGCCAGGAATCCCTCCCGGAGATAACCTGCACGGCAAGAACCACACCGGGAATACAGATGGGTCTGGGGTTTGGAGGGACAGCCTTTGTGGGAAGGACTGTATGGGAAGAGGACAGGAACTAAAACTGGAGTGTAGAAGACAAGCAATACAAGCATCACTGTAGATTGGAGAATGATTGATCCCACAGCAAATTCACGGAATGGCTGCTTTGGGTTGGAAAGGACCCTAAAGCTTATCTTGTTCCACATCCTGCCATGGGCAGAGACACCTTCCACTAGACCAAACCATAACCATCATTTAGAAGGAGCTGCCAGGAAAACTCTGTTCATGGTCACTGTCCTGCAGCATGGCTGTGACTTTGTAATGGGGAGATCCTCTGTCACCATCAACCACCAGAAGTCACTGGGCTTGTGTTTCACCCTTTTTTTTTTGTAAACCAAAAGCACAAAAAATACTACACAGGTTGCAACGTGAAAAAGTATATCCTGTGACTCACATGTGTGGCTTAAATTTTTGTGCATTAGAAAACACTGAAAATATTTTAATTTCCAAACAGCATCTCCCAAGTGGGAAGGGACCCACAAGCATCATCCAGTCCAATCCCTGGTCCTGCACAGACCCCCCAACAACCCCACCCTGAGCATCCCTGGCAGCGCTGTCCAAACACTCCTGGAGCTCTGGCAGCCTCGGGGCTGTGCCCATTCCCTGGGGAGCCTGGGCAGTGCCAGCACCTCTGAGGGGAGAACCTTTCCCTGATCTCCAATCTAAACCTCTCTTGACACAGCTTAAGATAACAAAATAAACTTAACATAGTTTCTTTTTAAGTGAAATTTCTGCCAAGTGTTACCTGAACAGGAACTTAAATTCTCTTAACAAAACTTCAAATGAACATTTTGAAAGTCAGTAGGCTAAAATGACCCACAGAGAGAGAAGATAAAAGTGGAATTATGAAATTGGGAACTTTGTTTGATATTAACTCATGTACTGAGCAAACACTCTGGGGCTCTGCTTTGTTTACACACTGTGAGCAAAACCTGTTCAACCACTTCCTCACCCTCACTCTCCCTGGACACTGCAATCGAATACAGAGGGAGAAATCCCACTGAGGGAAATATTCCCTTTGCCACCACAGGAGAAGTTCCCAAAAATCCAGTCCTAAGCCAGCACCAGCTCCAACAATGTCCCTGCTGGCTCCTGCTCTGCCAGTGGTTTGGCTGCCCTTAAACACCTCAAACCACAGAACTGCTCTATTTACTTTTCAAGTACTTAAGCAGTACAGTAAACACTGGGCAGTTTGGATCGTGAAATAAAATTTCCATTAAAAATCGAAATGGGAAAAAAAATAAATTTTAAAGTGATTCATGCACATTAAAATTTATTCCTATCCAACCCTGCTCAGCAGAGGTGACCAGAGGCCAAGCAGTGCCCATGAAGTCACAGGATAAAATTTAAATAGAGGATTGCTCTAATGAATGTAACAAAATTGTAAATATAGTCCAATTATATCTAAGTAATAAATAATGATTCAACAAAATAAAGACATAAGAATTAATATAAAAATAAATATTAAGCCTATCTACCATTAATAATTAAATATTTATTATAACATATTTAACATCTTAGTATTTAAATATTAATTTAAAATTGTATCACTACTTGATGAATTGTATATATATGTATATATATAAATATGTATATATGTATATATAAAACTGAATGTAAACATCTATACAAACACATAACCACTTAACTATTCATCTATCCATAAAGATATATATGTAAATTAAAAAATTTTAATATCTATATAAATATTTAATCTCTTGCTTGTTTTTCTATAAAATAAATACATACTTATAAGAATTGTTTGCCTTATACAGCTATAAATTTAATGCTGGTATAAATATAAATCGATACTTTATTATAATTAACTGAATTTAATAATTTCTTTTAAATGAACCTGTTTCTTGAAAAGCTCAGAACCTGCCAGGTGCTGTAGGAAGGTGACCCCACGTCCTCAGCCGTGCTCACCTGGTGTCCCCCCATCAGCAAACTTGGCCTCGCGGGGCCCGGGCAGCTGGAAGAGCGGGAAGAGGTAACTGGTGTGCCAGTCCCGGTCCAGGTTGGGGTTCAGCCCCGTCTGCTCGCTCCGCGGGGCGTTCCTCGGGCTGTACTTGAAGCGCAGCTCATACTCCACCTGCAAGGAGCACGCCGAGGGTCACGGGGGGGTGGGACAGACGGTAGTGACACCTGGGTGACACCTGGGTGACACCTGGGCAGGAGATGCTGTCCCCACCTCCCCTCCTCACCTGGAGGGGCAGCGGGGCCGAGCTGTGTGGGAAGCGGTGCCGGAACACGACGGCGGCCAGCACGCTGCCCGAGCGGTTGTCCAGCCTGACGTACTCCTCGAAGTCCCGCTCCGAGGGGAAGCCCTGAGCTGTGGAGGGGAAAGCAGGGAGATGCTGGGGTGGGGCAGGGCAATGCACCATGCATTGGTGCTCAGCCATCAGCAGGAGCATCGCTGGGCCCAGGACGGGCGAGATGTGCCATGCCTGCTGTCAGACATGGGGGAGTTACACAGGATGCTGCCCTGTATCCTGGGCATGCAGACATCTTTCCTCCTTGAGAGTAGGAGTCAGCTTTCCCACAGAAAATCCTAACAGTTTGGAACACCAAGTGCTAAAATTTTCTCTGCCAGAAGATTCCAAAAATACTGTTTCACACGGAAGCGCTGCCACCTTCCGTAACTGTTTTAGGGTGATATTTTTCTAGATGGAAACTGCAATAAAATGAGACTAAAAGGCAACCCAAAATCCTGTCATTTTAGTGGGAAAAAAAATTAAAATCAAACGATAACCTTGAAGTTCAGAAAAAAATGGTATTCCAGGAGCATGAGGATTTAGAATCACTCATAGAATGGTTTGGGCTGGAAGGGACATGAAAGACCATCCAGTTCCAAGACCCTGCCATGGGCAGGGACACCTTCCACTGGAGCAGGCTGCTCAGAGTAAGGATTCACAGCAATTTCTGGGGCAGGAGGGGCAGCCCCAGCCCCGCTCACCTCTGATGTTGATGGGCAGAGCTTTCTCCACCGCCTCGGCGATGCTCCGGACGGCGCTGCTGTTGGAGGGGACATAGGCCAGCTCCCAGGGGTTGCTGGCGTGCTGGGAGGAGAAGAAGCTGGGCAGGTCATCCACAGACTCAGGGGGGTAGAGGGTGGCGTTGGGGTGGCTGACGGAGTGCACGCGGTGCCGCAGCGCGATCAGGATGGCGGCAAACAGCAGCGGCAGGCAAACCTCGATCAGCGTCACCAGGATCTGCCGCTTCTGCAGGGCAGGGCAAACATACAAATATGATGGGGTAAGGATATAAAATACATTATGTATCTATATGTACACAGACATCTGGATATCTACCTTAGGTATGTATCTGTACACAGATACCTATCCATATATAGTACACTCACTCTCTCTCTCTCTCCCCCTCAAGAGATAAAAAAAGAAGATGCAAATACAGAAGGCAGATGAGCACAGTCACCAGGTTCAGGGCATGAGAACATCAAGGAGTGTTCTCAATACATTCTTGTATCCTACAAGGTTTCACAACCTGGGTTTTTCCAGAGGCCAGGAATGACACTCCACTGGTTCCCACATGCTTCAGAACTCTCCAGCCAATGTGTCCCCTACCCTGAGCACTGCTCCAGCTCAAACCAACTTCCATCAGAGCCTTCCTCACCACACTGATGGGGTGAATAACCCAGGCTGGTCCTTTGCTCCCTCCTTGTGCCCTGGGGCTCTGCCTCATGCAGCAACACTGCTGGAACCAATGCAACCTTTCCTGCTGGAGCTGAGTTGCTCCAGGCAGCTGGACATGGGATCTGCATCCCAGGATGTGGCCCAGCAGAGCCTCTGGCTACAGGACAGCTGCAGCACGGCAAGCACACCCATGGGCATACCCAAGCCACTACTGCACTACACACAGTGGCTCATTTCCTTTTTTTTTAATTGAGGTTCAAGCAACTGGAGAATGAACTCAAGCCCTGCACTCTGGAACTTCATCCATCAATTCCCCAGGGCTACCTGTCCTGCACAATGCCCCCACCAACACAGGTTCATTAGCATCCAATCCAGGTCAATTAGCATTTCAAACTGGTGTCCCAGGGGAACTCCGGTCATCTGTGCAACCTGGTCTAGTGGAAAGTATCCCTGCCTACAGCAGGGCAGTGGGATGGATGGTCCTTTCCAGCCCAAACCATTCTGAGATTCTGTTATTTCTTCCTGCAAACCGAGCTGCCTTCACCCTAGGCCAGGCTCAAGAGCAGCACAGCACGCTCAGCCTCAGCCACAGCAGTGACAGCTCAGAGATGTCCCTGGCCACAGGGGTTCATGGCTGCTCACTCAGAGCACGTGCCTGAAGCAGCAGCAGCAGCATTAACCTTTTCTGAGGCCTCTGGCTAATTTGGCTTCACAAAACCTGGGGATTTTCCACCCTTCCCTTTGCCAGGCTGGAAAGAGGAGCACAACTAGGAAAGAGAAGCAAGAGCTTTAGTCTCACAACTTTGCTGTCTCAGCAACTGGATTTTATCCAGCAGCCAGGGGGAAGGCTCAGGTAGGCAGAGTCTCTGGAGAAGGTAGAGAGCTCTGAGCACAGCCTGGATATCCTGGAAAGGGAGATAGCCCTGCAGGAGCCAGGGTGAACGGGATCTTGGGCAGTATGTCAGGAGATGATACAGGGATTACCATTACCCTGGCTCTCAGCACCCGCTGCCAAAGCCCAAAACACCTCTTGGGGCTTCCCTTGGGAGGAACAGTCTGCTCCAGCCACAGCCAGCCCCGGCAGCATAGGCAGGAAGCAGCAGCCTTGGGCAGGCAGGGAAAAAGGAGCTTTCCCAAAGCCACGCTCATAAAAGCCAACGCTGCAGATGTCTGATGAGTTTACAATGCAGCCCTGGCATCCCAGCTGCCTCCTGCTGATTTACTATCGTACTAAACCTCTCCCTATCTCCTGGGCTGCCTCCAGAACAGCTCTCTGCCTCCCTGAACTTGCAGGCTCATACACATTCACCAGCTCTGCAGCAGAAGCTATTCAAGCGCTGTATTCCAGAGGTGACAGGGATACTCATCCATAATCACCACCTCTGCTGACTGGAGCAGCTCTGGAGTGCCACGTGTGCCAGCACCCATCCTCCAGCAGGGTGGGGCTGACTTGGGAGCTCTGTGTCTGTATCAGGAACAGGACTTTTAGCTGTATCCCAGCACAGTAGACCTGAGTCAGCTTGTGGCCTTAGAAAACAAGCTGAGATGTGTGCCCACCCTGGAGCACACCCAGAAAACAATGCTTTTCCTCTGCAGAGGGGATGAAGGATGCTCCCAGCTGCAAATCAGCCCTGCTGCCAGTCCCTCTCATCCCTTCCAAGCCCTTCTCCCCGTTCTGTGCCTGCTGGAAGGCCGGGTGCAGCCAGCACTTCCCTCTTCCTTTGGTTTATTTTTACAGCAACGCTGTGCTGAGCTGCAGATGGGTAATTGAAAGGGCAAAGCCAGGCTGCAGCCACCCCTGCTCCCTCCTCTTCCCCTGCACTCAGCCAGGGCTGGCCCCGGGTCCCAGCGGAGCCACAGCATCCGCCCAGGAACACCCACACGCTGCTTAAAGGGGCTGCAGCCTCAGCCAGCACCAGCCAGGACCTGCCAGCCCTGAGGTCCCCAAATCCCTCAGCACCACCCAGCTGCCACGGTGGGAGGTGGGCTGACAGTGGGTGCCAGGGGTCTAATATTTTAAAGACCCCCTAAAAGCTGCTCCTGAGAGTGGTAGAAAACAATGGAGGAAAAAACCCCAGGGCCCCAGTGGGTTTTGGAGGCACCGGCACTTCCAGAGGAGGCTGTGCAATGAGACAGCTCCAAAAACCCCACTGTCACACGAGTGGGGTGAGGCTTACCCTGCCCCAGGAGAACGGCAGCTGAGCTCATTGCCAGAGGGCAGGAGGGGGATGCTGGGGACAAGGAAACTGAGTAGCTAGAACAGCCCATAAGGTCACACAGCCCAGCACAAAAGACACCACGTGCACAAATAACCTGCTCTCCTCCTAGAGATGCCCTGTGTCCACAGAGGTTTCCTGGAGAAGCCAGAGGCTGGGCAAGCTCTGATGTACCCCCATTTAGCAGTGTCAGAAGCAGCCCCCCGTGCATGGTGCCAGCCTACCTGCAGGATGTAGTTCTTCCAGAGCAGCAGCCTAAACTGCCTGAGCACAACCATCCTCCCATCAGAAGGGGCCCAGTGCCGCCACCACGCTCCACAGGACCCTGGAGGAGAGGAGAGAGACATGAGTGCCAGGTGCTGGTGAAACTGGGCAGCAGGAGGGCAGCACCCCATCCAGGGGCTCTCTGCTTCCAGCCTGGTGCCACAGCAGCTGCCTTGACCCCAAACAGGGTAAAATAACCATAGTTATAGAGCAATAGTGTTCCTTCTCCTAAGAGCCCCTGGTTTCTGGCATGGCTGTTCCCAGAGATGGAAGCTGCTGTTTCAATATCCAGCCTGGGTCCTTCCTAGCAGCAGAGAGGAACAGCTTTCCTCAAGCTGCAGGAGCACAGGGTTACAGAACTGCAAACACCAGCCCCAGGAAGGCTGTCCAACCCCTGACAGCCCATTATTCTGCGATGGGTGAAGATTCCAAGTTGTGCCTCCACCTCCTGCCCTGTGAAGGGTTGGTTCTGCAACACTGCCGGTGCTTTCCCAGCAGAAACTCTGCTCGGAGAGGCGAGGATGTGAAAAGGGCAGGGAAGCACAAGGGAAGGTCGGTGCTTGAGGACAATCCCCCTCTGCCTCCTCCCCCTCTCGGGAAGCATCCGCCATCGCTTCAAGTTGTTTGTGTCTCCATTTGCAGTGGCATTTCCTGACGGAGCACTGCTGTCCCACCAGGACACAGGCTGGGATTTTGGGTTTGCAGGGTGGCACAGAGAAGGAAGGGGCAGCCCTGGCACGAGCAGAGCCTCCTGCCCACGCTGCTGGACTCCCGGCAGCTCCCCCCGAGCAGTGCCAGCCTCTGAGCACGGCAAATCCCACCAGGATCACAGCAGGCAGCTGCCGGGGTCAGCTCCAAGCTGGTGCTCCAAAGCCTGGCAGCACTGAAAGCTCTCAAGGGGACATGGATGGGCACAAACTCACAGCAGATGCTCCACAGCACGTTCTCCAGCCCTGGGTGGGATGGTATCGGCTCCTTGGGTGCAACCAGCAACCTCAGCAGGGATTTCAGGGTGCCACACCAAGGCAAGGGGAGGCTGCTGACCCAGCCTGCCAGCCTTGGCTCCCGGGCTGGTGCCGGGGAACACGCACAGCGAGCACGGCTCCGGTGGCAACAGAGATGCAGCAAGAGCAACCTGAGACTCATGCAGGGCTGCAGGCACCACAGCAATGCTCACCTGCCTCACCTGCTCTCTGCCACCAGCTCCTCGAGCTCTCCAGGAGTCTTCTCCAGCCTTGGGACACACCTTCCAGCCCTAACTCTAAACCCAGGAGCCTTCTCCTGCCCTGGCACACACCTTCCCAGGCTCAACCCTAAACCCAGATGTGTCCTCAGAGCACAAAAAAGCCCACAGTCTCTTTGCCACTCCGTGCACAGAAGACAGATTCCCACAACATCGGGGACATCTGTGTTCAAGGATCTGTCTCCAGGCAGGAAAAAGCAGAAGAGATCTTATGCTTCAGCCCAGAAAAGTCCATCAGAAGCCCTGCCCAGAGCAAGCAGGAAAGGAATAGCAATGGAGACTTGGCAAAGGCACCTTCAAGCGCCTCACAAAGTGCCATGTCTCCAGCTGACCTCTGGTCCACACGTGGCCAAGCAGAACAGTCCATGCTGTGCCACAGCATCCCTTAGCAGGTCCCCCAGGCCCACACACACGTACCCCATACAGCAGCATCTGAAACACCCCCAAATAAGCCCCCCACCCCGAAGCAGAAACCTTTGTCATGCACCCCCTTGTAGGAATCCAGAGCAAACCAAGGGAATCAAAGTTGTGGCTCACTTTAAAGAGGACAAATGGTGCAGGTCAGGCAGGAGCAGGCTGCTGCCCTCGCAGAAATCCCAAATCCTGCTAGCCCTGCCGCACCCTCAAACTCAGGCTGCCCCCCCGACCGCCCCCACGGGTCTTACAGTTGCTGCTGGGAAAATGTCAAGCAGCTCTTGGGTAACACAAACACTATGCAAAGACTGAAAACTCCATTATTGCCAATAAATATTTTCCAAGTTTTTAAGTGTTCCAAGAAGACTCGTTCTGGACCTTTCGCTTGCTGGAGGATGAGAGGAGGAAGAAGCTAAGTTACAAAAGGTCTTACTGGATTTGAGAGCAAAAATGGTTTTCCAGGCTCTGGCATCCAAAACATTTTTTTTTTCCAACCCAAAAGAGAAAACCTGTTTTAGGTGGTTCTGCCTGGATCAGCCCTGAGATGTCCATGACCAGAGGCAGCTCCGGCAGGGTCCAGCACCCATGTCTGGGCCAATCTTCAGCAGAAAGGGAGGACAGAGTGCCACAGGTTGATGACGACCTCAGAGGCACCAAGGTGCCTCACAGGAGGACATGGGCAGCATGTTGGGTTGTCCCCACCAGGGATGGATCTGGGAGAAGAGAGAGGCCACCACCACCAGCTTCTAGGAGAACAACCCAGTTCCTCTCCCTCTCCCTGCATCTTACCACAGCAGGAGGAAGGGTCTCCTGAGTACGTGAGTGTGGACACACCCTGGCCATCCCCAGGGAAGCCAGTGAGGAAGGAAACACTCCTGCTTACCCACAGCCTGCATGAGTGAATAGGAGACTGGTCCTCACCACCTGGTCTCCAGCAGGCCCTACAGCAGTACCAAGCTGTGCTGGATAACGTGGTGGCAGCTGCCAGCCTGGACCAGAGCTGTTTTGCGGGTGGATTTACATGAGGACAGGCTGAGGATCGGCAGGGATCAAGGCCACAGCATCCCACCTCCTGACCCACTTCCATGCTGCCTCACTGCCGGGAGGTGGCTGTGCCTGGCCACCGCCTCAGCAGAAAGGGCCGAGCAAAGGCCACATGCTCCCGGGAGCTGGCAGTTATTTTAGAGCACACACCGCATTTCTGCTCTTCTGATGTCCTGTTCCCATAGAAACCAGCCTGGAAATGGCAGACGTTGCCTTTTTTAATATAAACCCTGCATGTCTTCCTGCCGGTTGACACAGACACCATGTCATCCCTACAAGATGAGCTGCCAGGTGCCTGCACCTCCACAGCTTTGCTGAGGAGCATGTGGTGCCTGGGGTGGTGGCATCACACACCTGGTGAGGGCTCTCAGTTCCTGGGTACTTTCTCCACTGATACTGGATCAGGAAATTCCTCTCTCCTCCCCACAGTGTCTGTGTTGGAAATTAAGCAGCCACAGCAGGGCAAGAACTTTTTACGGCCACTGTTTTCAGGAAGAGCGAGTGATTTTCGAGGCGGGTACGTCCAGAAAGTTCCAGGTCCTGCAAAGAGCAACCAGGGCCAGCAGCCACCAGACCAGACATGAGTGTTCAGTGACACACAGCTCTCGCTGCTGAGATGTTTTCACCTTCTCAGTGTTCACAGAGATTTGGGAGTCACGACACAGCCAGATCATAAAAACCTCACCTTGGTTGTGCAAACAGTAATAAAACTTTCTAAGAGGCTGTAAAGACTGGTGGGGTGCTGCAGGGACCAGTGATCTCGCAGCCCTCTCCAAGCCCAACAACCAGTGCCGGACAGATATGTGTGTCTGGGTTTGACCCAGACAGGAACTTCAGGCCTTGAAATAGAGAAGAGAGCTGGGCTGGATCCTGTTTGCAGAATGAGGGGTTGGCTTGTGCCCAGCTGCTGCCCTGCAGTGGGAGTGGGCTGGTGGGCACAGGGAGCCTGATGGGCTCCATGGTTGTGTCTGTAACTGCCTTTGTGCTGGGGGCAGCAGCACGAGAGGGGGGACAAAGCTGCTGCAAGAACTGCTCAACCCCTTTGCATTAAAAGCAGCATCGCTGGTTTGCCCAGCGAGTTTGCAATTGCCCAAAAAACAACAAACTGCAAACTCACTGGCCTCATGGATTTAGCAAGAACAAGGTCTGGAGCCCAACACATGGGTTTCTCATGGAGCCTTGTACAATCCTGCTCCTGCCCTGCAGTTGCTCAGTAGTGGGGCAGGACAGGCCACCCGGGCAGCTGTGAGCAGAGGACAGGGAGATCCTTTCTGCTTCTACCTGGTTTTGAACACTTCCAGAGATGGGGACTCCAGCACTGTCCTGGGAAGTCTGTTCCAGTGTCTGACCATCCCTTCCATGAAGAAATTTTCCCAATATCCAACCTAAACCTGAAGCTGTTTTCACTTGTTTCCACGGAGCAGAGTGTGACCCGCGCCTGGCTACACCCTCGTGTCAGGAGTTGTGGACTGAGAAGGTCCCTCCTGAGCGTCCTTTTGCCCAGGCTGAGCGCCCCCAGCTCCTCCTCATTAGATTTGTGCTCCAGACCCTTCCCCAGCTCCGTTCCTTTCCCTGGACGCGCTCCAGCCCGTCAATGTCTGTCTTGGCATGAGAGACTTTCTCCCACGAGCCAGGGCCCCCGGGGCGCAGAGGGGCCGGCAGATGTCCCCTCAGTCCCCGCAGCCCCGTGTCCGTTCCCCGGCAGGGAGGGGTGGCCCGAGCTCCCCCGGGATGCCGGCGGCTCCCAGCCGGGAGCAGCCCCCGCGGCTGCCGGAGCGCGGCCGAGCATCCCCGGCGGAGCCGCCTCCACCCCGCGCCTCCATCCGCCGCAGCCTACGGGGGAAGCGACCCGCGCGGGCCCGCGCAAAGGCCGGCACCGAGCCCGAGCCGCGCCGGAGCGCGGAGGCGACAGCGGGAGGAGCCGGCCAAGGGCCTCGGCGTTGCCGCAGCTCCGGGCGGGGCCGCCCCGCCGACCGGCCGAGAAACCGCGGCCCCACGCATCCCCCGCCGCGCCCGACCCCCCGCTCCTGCTGCCATCACCCCCGGCGCCCATCGCCCCCCGTGCCCGTGCCGGTGGTCCCGCTCACTCACCGGGCCGGGCGGCTCCGGCTGCGGCTCCAGCTCCGTCCGGCCCCGCCCGCGCCCGCCGCGGGAGCGCGGAACTGCGCATGCGCCGGGAGGGGGCGGGACCGGGACAGGCGGAGAAAGTGTGTGTTTGTGTGAGTGTGTGTGTTTATGTGTGTGTGTGAGTGTTTGTGTGTGTTTATGTGTGAGTGTTTATGTGTGTGTGTTTATGTGTGTGTGAGTGTTTATGTGTGTGTGTGTGAGTGTGTGTTTATGTGTGTGTGTTTATGTGTGTGTGTTTATGTGTGTGTGAGTGTTTATGTGTGTGTGT